GGTCGTTCCTGCTCCTCAGAACTGAGGGGACGGGGTGGCGGGCGAATTCTCCCGGCCGTGAACGGTCCCCAGGGTCGGGAGTGCCCGGGCGGGACCGCTGTTGCCAGACGGTCTGAGAAGGACCTGGTCTGGGGCAGCTCCCACCTGGCTCCCCCGCCGGGAGGCCGGCCCCGAGAGAGCCCCGTTCTCCCTCAGAGCAGCGGGCTCTGCCTGCCCGACCTGCCCCCCTCCGCTGGCCTTGTATTGTTCACACCAAAGGTGTTGTGCTGACCATCAATGGGGAAAGCCCGGGCCACAGAAGTGCCCTTGGTTATGTCTTTTGGGTGATGTATGTTTATAAACGATGCTCATGATCCTCTAGGCTCAAAGGCCGCCGGTCTGCAATCGAACTCTTGTGTTAGAAACCCAATGACTCATTTTTGCTCCACCGTTGTGCCAAGAAGAGCGTGGTGCCTTCCCAAGGCCACAGGGTCTTGGGTTTGCCCAAAGAGAACGTTTCTGAGATCCAGCTCTAGAAGTATCTCAGGTTTGCCCCATTTTCTGTGGGCATGCCCTTAGCTTCAGGTGTGGAAACAGCCGTGGCCTGGGCCCTGCTCCTGCGGCAGCTCCCTCAGAAGCTCCGCTCCGCGAGTCAAATGGCTCCTCCGCTCACTCCGGCATTTTGCTGGTTTACCTGAGCTCCACATCTGCGGTGCTGGATAAAAGTCAGGATCTAATTCTTTTTCAGGTAAAAAGCTTCCACTGATGGAAGGGCAGGGGGAAAAAAGAGACCCAAACGTTTGGTTTAACTTCTTGAAACCTTGGGGTTGGTGGCTGGAGCAGCTGTGCCTCGCCTGGGCAGGGGAAGCCTTTCTGGGCCGTGTCTCTGTCTCGAGATGGGGCCGCTCTGGGCAGCGCTGCAGCCCTGTCCCACCTTGCTGTGTGGTGGGGAGCCACGGCCCGGCATGGGAAGGGTGCTTCCAGTCCGGGCAGAGTTCGCTTCTTTGATGAAAATAAAAATGAGAAGAGTAAGGTGAGATATATTCAGCCAGAAATATGTGTAAATCAGAGGGGAATGTCTCTCTGGCACAGATAGTTTTAACTTTTTAGAAAGGAGATTGAGACTGCTTGTTTTAGGGTTTGTAAAATGTATAGACTGTGGAGACTGCCGGCCTTTAATATGTCCCACACTGCTCCATGCACCCAGCTGTGTGGAATTACTGATGTAAAAGTATTTTCTTACCCCATTCCTGTAATGTGTAAAATCCTGACCCTGCCATGGCTGCATTCCCCCCCACACTCAGCTGGAGTCTGTTGCAGGACCATGGCCTGTGTCAGCTGGGCTGATCTGGGGATACTCCATGAGAATAATCCTGGGTATTAGATGCGCAAGGGACTTCTAATTCCTTCCTCCTACTCCAGTGTTGCCGAGCGGAAGAACCTCTTTGGTGCTAACTCACGGATCTTAATTCAGAGCAGAATCTTAGGCCTGGCTGCAGGACGCTGTCAATGTGAAATGACTGAGTTTTTACAGGTTTAAAAGCCAGATGCCCACAGGGATTCTATGTTACCAACTTTCCTAGCATGACTGGTGAGGAGGTATTTTTATCTTGCTGTCACAGCAATCTGGTTTTTGGTGTTCTTTTGCAGCCCAAAGGTACATATCACTGTTTCTCGTGGGGCTGGAGTAAGCTGGATTGACACCTGGAGGAAGCAGCCTGAACTGGTGGCAAGACACTGAGCAGTCCCCTTGGAGTAACTAAAGGAACGGCCCAGGCAGCTGAGACACCGAATGCAGGGACCAGTTTTTTTAGGTGAGTGCCTCAAAGACAAACCCACCAAATATAAGCTGAGCTTGAAAGTTGCATTTCAGTTTCAAGTCCCTTTTCCAAGAGACTGGTTTCTGCTTCCTTGGAAGGGGGAGTTAGCTGCCTGTGCAATTCCTTTGTAGTGATGAGAGGGAGATCTCACACGCAACACCTCCAGGAGACTGTTTTCTGTTCCCTTTCTTGCTGGCTTTCCCCCTGCCCAGCAGCCTTTCAGTCTGTCTGAGTTAACTCAGATGCAGCAGGCTCAGTTATCTTCTGGATGTCATCCCTGTCACTGTGTTTAAAGCCCAGCAGCAGTGGAAAAAGAGAGAGTTGGGCTGGAGGGAGCAGGATTTGCTGCTTTATTTCTCCCTACCTGTTGCTCAGCCTTGCTCCCTTACCTGTTGCTCATCTGTAAGTGTACCAACAGATGTGGTCACTTTTCCTGAATTTCTTGGTGTGCTGAATGCAGGTCCCTTCAAAAATCTAACTCCAGTAGTGGGTCCAGAACCCTTAGAGATCTTGCCCTGAGTTCCTAGTAATTTGGGTTGATGTTAGCCACTGAAACCAGCCTGCAGAGGTCTGTGACTTGCACAGTGGTCTGGCAAGAGGCTTCATCGTACTTTGGAGACCGCAGCTATAGCAAGGGCTTTGTGGGGCTGTTCATTCCCGATTTTTGCCTCTCACTTTGTTGGCAGCAGACAGATAAGAGAGGTCCCTCAGAAGAGCTTTCCATAGGTGGTGTCCTGGGAATAGAGGCCAAACACAGTTCATCTGGCACAGAGGGAGAGGGAATCATAGATCAGCATATGAAACAAAGACACACAAATATGTGAGGGAAGGGAAATGCATCAGGTGTTGCTGTTAACGCCTTGAACTCTCCCCTTACTGGTGTAATTAGTCCTTACTGGTATTTGTGATGTCAGCTTTTGAAGAACAGGGGGCAATTTTGTTAGCATGACTAGCAGCTAAGGACACACAAGAACAGCTTATCCTTGTTCATTCTGGAAACGGGTGTTAGCAACTACACACTAAATCTTCTTCCGGCACAACGATGGGGTCACATCAGCTGCCAGATATTTGAAGGGCGATTTATTTTAAATTGTAAACAAACAGATTGACTTGTAAATATCCCAGAGATACATCCTACCAATATAAAAGGCATCCTATAATTCAGGGAGGAGACACCTGCAACAAAATGATCTGGTCTTTTCATTAAGCACGAAATGAAATTTGCTCTCAAAGTGCTTTCAGAATTGTAAACTGACAAGAGAGGATGCAAGGGTGCTTGGGCACTGGGCCAACCTCCTTGAGCTTGCACAGGATGGTTGGTTAAACCAAGGAATAGCAGTTCTCTCTTTCGCTGTCAGCCCCCTTACAACTCCCAGGAAGTGGCTGCTGGTGACATGCCTCACTTTTCTCAATCAAGTGGTACACAGGGTTTCTGGGAGAGTGACTGAAGAACTTGTGAGGGTCACATGAAGTGCTTGTGCGGGTGTGTTAAGATCTCAACACGAAAGACCTGACGATCTTAAAAAGACGAGTAGAAGCCTTATAGAGATTTCTGAGCATATGTTAACGAACAAACATTGTCAGTCATGGGCAGGAGCAGCTGGTGTGTGCGTGGGGGTTGACAGAAGAGGTGGCTTTCCCAGCATGCTGGACTCTGGTAACCCGGGAGATACGGTGTCAGTATGTGTCCTGTGGTCGTGCGCAGACAGGCTGGCGTTGCGAAGGGCCTGCTGTCAAGCGTGACCTCCCATGGGATGAACAGGGTAGAGAACAACCGCTAATGTAACAGCCATGAAAGGATAAATCTGGACCACGGAATTTGGTGTTGGGTCTCACGGCTCACAGCTGTGCAGCAATAGCTCACTTGCACCTTGAAGTGCAACAGTGAGGAGACTTGTAGTGTGTCTCGGGTGGTGAGGGGGAAACAGCCCAGACATGCCTTATGTCCCAAAGGGCTTGACTCGGTGCTTCTCCACCGTAGTTGCGTTTAACCATTTCATAAGCTGCTTGAGCCCCTAGATTGGAAACCATTTCCAGTCTGAATATTCACAGTTTACAAACAGGGCAGCTGAAGAGAGAGGCCTTGTCCAAGGTCACCAAGCATCTGGAAGTGCTAAGACCAGATGAGAGAGCTGCTACACCCCAGGGCAGTGCTCTAACCACTGGTCCACACTGCTTCCCCCTGCCTGAGTTCAGTGTGCTTTCCCAAGTAAGGAACAGAGGCCTTGTTAGT